GTAGGCCTCTACCAAGCACATTGGAGCCAAGTCTGCCAATGTTAATTGTTGCGGATGAGGCTTTTGGATTAGCTGAGAATTTAATGCGGCCATACAGTGGTTTTGGACTCAGTCACATACAGAGAATATTTAATTATCTTCTCAGCCGTGCTCGGAGTGTGGTAGAATGTGCCTTTGGCATCCTTACAGCAAAGTGGAGAGTACTTCTCTCATGTATGCAGATAGATGTCGAGAATGCCATTAAAGTGATACTTGCATGCTGTGTTCTTCACAATTTTCTTAGGGAAAAGGAGGCAAGGACTGGAGACCCAACACCAGCAAATCCAAGTCAGCGTGTACAGTTCATGGACTTACGAGCAAGTGGACGGGTCATGACTATTCCCAACCAGTTTGCTGAATTTTTTCTTTCACCTGATGGTGAAGTGTCATGGCAGTATCAGTATATTTAGATATTTCTTTGGTTTGCACTTTTGCAACAGACTTTCCAATGTACAGTTTCGGTTAAATAAAACTGTTATAACTTTATCTTTTATGACATTTTTCTTTCTCTCTCTCTACATTTTTTTTTAAATATCAAGGGGTGAATTGTGATAGCAAACTCCAAAGGAAAATTGTTAACTTTGTATCTGCGGGTGGCTCAGACATGCAGTTGCCCATGACAACTGCATACCTCAGCAAAACGCAGGTGGCCACATGTTCACTTTGCGTCTACATATAGCTCAGTTATGCAGTTAGCCTTTGAAAAATGGTCATATGTTCACTTGGCATCTGCATATGACCCAGTTATGCATTTGGCCATGCAAACTGCATAATGGAGCTACACGCATGTGGCCACATGTTCACTTAGCATCTGCATGAGACTCAGGCATTTGGCCATGCAAATTGCATACAGGAGCTACAGGCAGATGGCCTCACTGTGTCACTTCCTGTTTTGCACCCAGTGCTGTAATCTGAGACACTGGGACTGCAAAGGACAATAGAAATGACTCAGCAAGAAGGCACTGTGTCATTTCCTGTTTTACACACAGTGCTGTAATCAGATACTAGGACTGCAAAGGACAATGTAAATGACTCAGCAGGAGGGCACTGTATCACCTCCTGTTTTGCACCCAGTGCTGAAATCTGAGACGCTGGGACTGCAAAGGACCATGGAAATGACTGGAGTGGGCGGAGTAACTGGGTGGAGTGGCTTGTCACTCTGCTACCTGCTCACACACCTGGGTTCCTATGGCAACTCACTCTACAGCAAGGGCAGAGAAGAGCGGTTAAAAACAAACTGCTCCAACTTGCTCACTTCACTGGCGGTTGCCATCTTCAAATGGTTGTAGTTTTAAAAATTATAAATCCTACACCGAAGACCCAGACCTACATTTTGATGCATAGTATGTCTCTGAAATATTAAAAATGAAGGTACAGTCGCAGTTTAGAAATTGCCCTTCAAATTTGAGGTGGCTAGAGTGGAGTTTCAATGAATGTCAATGGGCGGCATGAGTTGCAAACAAATGGTCATATTGTGAAAACTATCAGGACTATGGCTTAGCCGTGGACAGTTTTAGTGGCAGCATATTTGATATAAGATTTGTGTAGGTGGGCTTGAAAATGAGGGAATGATGGCAGTTTAGAAATCATGTCCTGATGTTTCAGCTCACACTCTAGCTTTTGTCAGCTTCCACTATAGTTTTGAACATTCCACCATTCATTCCTATGGGACCAATTTCACCACAAAAACGCTGATATTTCGTGAACCATTCGGCAAAACGTTCCACAAAGTAGTAGCACACCAATCGGGAACAATCCGCACGTTTTGGTATATTACTGTCTATGTAGTGTAAAAACTGTGGGAGGAGTTATGGTGGTAAATTTGGCTATAATAATAAGAATATATATGTGAGATAACAGTAAGTGGTCTTGCCATGCAAGAACACTTAATGACTCAGCAGGAGTGCACTGTGTTGCTTCCCTTTTTGCACCCAGTGCTGTAATCTGAGACAATAGAAATGCAAAGGACAATGGGAAATGACTCTGCAGAAGCATGCAGTATGTCAGCAAAGCCAAACAAAGAGATCAAAGCCAAAAAAGAGCTTCAAATAAACTCTAGTATGATCTGGTTACATGTAGGACATGTAGAAGCAAGAGCATCCCCAACATAATCTGAAAAAGCAGTAATAAAGACATTTTCCTTTTCCAAAAATATCCAATTTAAAAAAAAAAATTGTCACTTTAAAAATACTATAAAATGGCCGTTTTGGTGTTTTACTATGTTTCAGCGTTTTTACAGTTGAAAAACTCCTCCTAGAAACCCACTAGTTTTGGGTTTTTTTTTCCAGCCAAAAAACGCCCAAGCCAAAAAAAATGTTGAATACAGCCTATGTATGCATGGACAACATGCTGGGGGGTTTACTGGTTGTAAATAAAAACGTCAAATGTCAAAAACAGCAGTAGTAAAAATGTCAAGTGTGCATGAGGACTAAACGTAGATATAAATAAAGGAAAGAAGTGAAGGGATTTGTATTGCTTGCATTTTTAAAGATCACAGAAAAATACAAAATCTTTTTTTCCACTTGATTTTGTATTTATTTTGTTATTTATTCTGCAGTGTTCCTCAGTATAAAAAGACCTTTCACATCATCCTTTAAAGTGGAACTTTAGTCAGAAAAATTAAGTCCTGCTAGAGAACTTCAGGCTGGCTCCTTTTGCAGGTATAGCTATGTAAAACATTAAAAATAAGTGCCTATACTGTTTAAAATCCAGTAATATACTGTACTGTCTCAACCTGCTCTGCACATTCCCAGTTGCTCTCTATTTTTCGGCACTGTAGGGTTTATTTACAAAAGCTGGTTCACTAAGAATCTCGTGCACTTCTGCATAGAAACCAATCAACTTACAGGTTTTATTGCTAAAGCTTAATTGAACAAGCTGAGGTTAGAAGCTGATTGGTTACCATGCACAGGTGCACAAGATTCGGAGTGAACCAGCTTTAGTAAATAAAACCATGTGCCTAAAATCAGAGCCACTGGAGGCTGATCAGCTGGCAGCCTCATGAAGTAATGCTGCTCAGGGGCTCTGAGCTTCAGTAAAATGGCATCCTCCAGCAAGAAGAAACAGGAGCAAAGCTAGAAGCAATTTATAGCACACCTTCATTTTGGTAGTATAATTACTAATATGGAATGTATGTTCCCTGCTAAAGAACATTATTTTTTATCAAGTTGTTGTGGGTAAAGTTCTGCTTTGACTCCCTATGACCTTTCACTACATGGCAGAAATGGTTATCATGGACACTAAAGCTGTTCATACAGAGCTCAAATTTCACTGAATAGTGCTGAATCAGCCAAAATCCAAACTGTGGGTAGCCTTGTTGACTTCACTCAGCTCAACAAACTTTTTATGAAAATGGTTGTAAAGGCTGAAGGTTTTTTACCTTCATGCATTCATGCTCCCACTGCTGTCGATCACAATCGCTGAGGGAGGGAGCGGGGGCAGGACTGAGCCATGCTCTGTGTGTCTTTTGGACAGACAGAGCAGGGCTCAGAAGCAAGCATGCAAGCTATGGGGGAGAGAAATCAGGAGTGCTGGTGGGGGCACCTGTGAAAAGGAGGATCAGGGCTGCTCTGTGCAAAACCATTTTATAGAACAGGTAAGCATACGATGTTTTGTTATTTTAAAAAAAATGCCTTTACAATCACTTGAAGTCACTGTCTGAAAATGTGGACAGCCACTGGTGCTACAGCTGTCTGAGAAGAAAAGCCAGCAGGGAAGATCTAGTTGTCCACGTTGTTTAGCTTGGGTGGGGAAATCAATTGATTTCCCTTGTTCATCCTGTGGGGCTGAATGAAAAAAATATTGATAGCCCAAAACTAGAATGAGTTTTGGTTAAAACTAATTAACATACTTATTTTTTGCGGGAAGAAACTCAAGCAACGGATGAAAGTCAACTGAATCGTAAGAACATATAAACTTTGTGAAGGTGATGTTCCTGATAAAATTAAACGCAGGGCTCAGCTCTGCAAGGCAAGAATACAGTTGAGTACTGTCCTTGATACTTTATTTACTTGCACTAACTGTTTAAATTTCCAGGGCAAGCTCCCTTTTTCTCAGACCAAACAACACTGATACGTGAGAAATGTTAAGAACAAGAATACCTGAAAAGATTAAAAAACATGCAAAACACACACAAAACAGGATAATGAAACTAAGAACATTAGGTTGGCCATACACAGTTTTTTGTTTTTTTTTTTGTCCAGCCAGTAGGCTGAATGAAAAAAAAAAAATAGATTCCTCTGTCACCACAAACAAGGTGAATGGAGGAATCCCCCTGCCAAGACATTTTGTATTTTCAGAGCAGCATTCATCATCAATGTCAGAATAGTCCATTCAAAGGCTGCAGTTGAATGGGCTGCAGTTGAATGATGGAAATTTTTCCGACATGTTCCTGCAACAGAAGTCGAATAAACAATCCACTTCTATCAGGTAGGGGAGCCCACACAGTGATCAAAATTTATAAGTCACATAAGGAAAAAAGTGGGCAGTGGAATGAGAGCGGAGAAGAAAAGAGTCACAGAGGTGAGAGTGGTCATAAAACTATTTGATAGTGAATTAACTGTTTAGTCACCTTAACCTCCCTGGTGGTATGATTATTTCAGATTTTTGGTGCTGAGAGCGGTACCGTTATTTTGCATGGAAATTTGGCGTTTTATATTGTAGGCCTGTAATTTTTCGGAATAACTCACTGAAATCTGTCCGAACAAGAGTCTAGTAAACATTCCGGGCAGGAGAAAACTTGAAACATGAAATCATAAATTATAATTTAATAATCATAAAAAAATAATATAAGAATAATATCTTTTGTACCATTATGTTCTTTATTAATAAAGGCTTTCTTTTTGGTAAAAAAAAAAAAAAAAGAATAAATTTAATTCAATAATATAATCAAACAAAAAACACTGAAATTTGAAATATAGTGCCAAGTTCGCACATCGCTGAGCAAAGTCGCAAAATAGTTTTCAGTGTCTGATGACGAATTTCCCCACGAATCATCACTCAATTCTGCAAGTGGTTCTGATTTACTATCGCTGTTCTCTAGCCGGTCTAAAACCGCTTTTGACCTAAAGTGACACTTTTTGGATGCCATGGACTTTTCTAAGTTTCCAGGCAGAAAGAACAGTCAAAATGCAGGCAGGGCACAAGACAAAGCAGTAGGGACAAAATTTATGTGAAATGGTTTGAGGTGATTGTAGCCGTATTAGTGCATTTGCGACAGAAACAATTGAGTCCGTGGTACTCTTTTTATTTGCACTAACATACAATTTTGAGGACAAGCTTTCGGGGTATGTCCCCTTCTTCAAAGTCCAAGCAGTACTATACAAATCACAAAGTTTAAGCAGAATGTTAGAAGGGATTGAGAAAAAAAAAAAAAAAAAAGGCTACAGATAAGATACAATTACAATCTAAAACAATTTTACTCATTGATGAACACTTTTCATCCATCAATCAAACTAAAAATGGAATACTCAAACACACACGTCAACTTCCTAGACACCACAGTATACATCAGGGATGATACGCTTCACACCTCAATATACAGGAAACCCACTGACAGATGTAACTACCTCCACAGTTCTAGCTTCCACCCCCAACACACGAAACGTGCCATCATACACAGTCAGGCCATCAGATACCACCGAGTATGTTCTGACCCAAGAGACAGAGATAAACATCTTGGGACACTAGCAGACGCCTTCCATAAGAAAGGTTACAAGGACAAAACTATCAACACCGGCATAAACACAACCTTGAGAACCCGAAGGGAAAAGCTACTTCAGTACAAAGAGAAAAAAAACAAACAACCGTGTACCTCTAGTAACTACATACAACCCGGCACTAGAGGGAATAAGAAAAATAATCAAAGATTTACAACCCATCATAACAGAGGATGGAACTCTGAAAGAAATATTCCAGCAACCCCCAATACTGGCTTTCAGACAACCCCCCAACCTCAGAAATAAACTACCGTATTTGCCGGCATATATGACGACTTTTCAACCCGTGAAAATCTTTTGAAAAGTCGGGGGTCGTCTTATACGCCGGTATACGGCGAGCCGGTGTCAGGGCGGCACTTTTTCGAGGGGCGGCGCCGCCCCCCCTCCTCCTCCAACGGACACCAAGTACAGGGGTGGGCAGAGGGGCTGCTGTACCTTACCTGGCTCCGGTCCCGGTCCCACGACGATCCGGTCCAGGAAGCGCGGTTGCTCCTTCTTTCAGTTCGGCCGCTCGATGGTCCAGCCGTCCGCTCGGCTCCGCCTCCTCACCGGTGATTGGGTGCCAGCACTGGAAAGGCACACAGGCGACCAATCACCAGCGAGGAGGCGGAGCCGAACGGCACCGCGAAAATCAAGCGGCCAAACTGAAAGAAGGAGCAGCCGCTCCTCTCCCCCACTGACACTAACGATGGGGCACTATTCCTCCTCCACACTGACACCAACGATGGGGCACTATTCCTCCTCCCCCACTGACACCAACGATGGGGCACTATTCCTCCTCCCCACTGACACCAACGATGGGGCACTATTCCTCCCCCACTGACACCAATGATGGGGCACTTTTCTCCCCACTGATATCAATGATGGGGCACTATTCCTCCTCCCCACTGACACCAAAGATGGGGCACTATTCCTCCCCCACTGACACCAATGATGGGGCACTTTTTCTCCCCACTGATACCAACGATGGGGCACTATTCCTCCTCCCCACTGACACCAAAGATGGGGCACTATTCCTCCCCCACTGACACCAATGATGGGGCACTTTTCTCCCCACTGATACCAACGATGGGGCACTATTCCTCCCCCACTGACACCAACCATGGGGCACTATTCCTCCTCCCCACTGACACCAACGATGGGGCACTATTCCTCCTCCCCACTGACACCAATGATGGGGCACTATTCCTCCCCCACTGACACCAATGATGGGGCACTTTTCTCCCCACTGATACCAATGATGGGGCACTATTATCCCCACTGACACCAATGATGGGGCACTATTCCTCCTCCCCACTGACACCAACGATGGGGCACTATTCCTTCCACTGATACCAATGATGTGGCGCTATTCCTCCCACTGACACCAATGATGGGGCACAATTCCTGCCACTGATACCAATGATGGGGTGCTATTCCTCCCACTGACACCAATGATGGGGTGCTATTCCTCCCACTGACACCAATGATGGGGTGCATTCCTAACTGACACTAATGATGGAGCACTATTCCTCCCACTGACACTAATGATGGGACACTATTCCTCACACACTGACACTAATGATGGGGCACCATCATTGGTGTCAGTGGGAGGAATAGTGTCCCATCATTGGTATCAGTGGGAGGAATAGCGCCCCATCATTGGTATCAGTGGGAGGAATAGTGCCCCATCATTGGTGTCAGTGGATGAAATAGTGCCCCATCATTAGTGTCAGTGGGAGGAGTAGTGCCTCATCATTGGTATCAGTGGGAGGAATCATGCCCCATCATTGGTCTCAGTGGGAGGAATAGCACCCCATCATTGGAATACCATACTGAAATACCATACCATATTGAAATCAAATCTGATGTTTTTTCATTTTTATTTGGTGTGTGTTGGAAGAGGGGTAGTCTTATACGGCGAGTATAGCTTAAACCCTATATTTTAACAGGAAAAGTAGGGGGTCGTCTTATACGCCCAGTCGTCTTATACGCCGGCAAATACGGTAATCAGTAGGAAACTTCCTTCTGATTACGATGCCACAAATAATGGAAGCAAACCCTGCAATAAGAAACGCTGCAAGCTGTGCAACCAAATCAATCCATCAAAAAGTGTCAGACACTCAAAAGGGATCTTCAATATTTCCGGATCATACAGCTGCACCTCCAGTAATGTTGTATACCTTATCCAGTGCAGAAAATGCAGCAAAGGATCTTATGTTGGTGAAACAGGACAGAAGTTGCAAACACGGATGAATTTGCACAGACATACCATCAAGGAACATAAAGAAGATGACCTCTGCACACCTGTAGGACACCATTTCTCACAACCAGGCCACAATATGGAAGACCTCAATATTTTAGTTCTGAAAGGAAAATTTAAATCCATCCAGGAAAGAAAAACATTTGAACTAAGAATGATAATTCTATTTGACACAAAAGATAACGGTCTTAATTTGGACATGGGATTCCTCAACCATTATCCGACAGCTTTATGACCATCTATTAGCTAAAACTTGACCCCCTCTGTGTGAGTGTTGTATCCCCCCCCTCCCCCCCTCGCTTTTGGTGTATCTTATCTGTAGCCCTTTTTTTTTTTTTTTTTTCTTTCTCAATCCCTTCTAACATTCTGCTTAAACTTTGTGATTTGTATAGTACTGCTTGGACTTTGAAGAAGGGGACATACCCCGAAAGCTTGTCCTCAAAATTGTATGTTAGTGCAAATAAAAAAAGTATCACGGACAGTACTCAGTTGTTTCTGTGAAATGGTTTGAAACAGTAATGTTTTACTATGTCATTTTTGTTTATTAGAAAATGACAGTTTCTAAAATTTTTAAATTTGCCACGTCCCGACGCTCGCAGGGACTGGAACACGGAGTTGGCTGGGTACGCTGCAGGAGACACATCGCAGGGGAGCGAAGGACAAGGTAAGCGCTGCAGGGAATCCCTGAGCAACGCCGCATGGTAAGCCCGAGTGTAGCTCGGGGATACCGCTTGTGGTACTGAAATTTTACCCCGAGCTACACTCTGGAATACCGCCAGGGAGGTTAAGCAAGGCAAGTTCACCTGAAATGATTAAAGAATACAAAGCACTTTGAAGCCATGAGGGATGTGTCTATAAAGTGAAATTGTGTTTGCAATTTTATTACTTTCTGCTTTGTGAAGCCAAGCAAATTTACACATTTATAAAATCAGCGATCAACTTACTGACAAACTAGACAAATAATAAGCTGGCTTGATAATTGACAAAAAAGTTCTGGCATTTTAGGCCAGCCATACATGGATCCAAATTCAGCTGGGACCAGCCGAATTTTGATCCATGTATGGGCAGGCTGATCGACTTGGGAACAACCAGCCTCTCATATTTTTCTGCATATGATAACTGCTAGCAGCTATCATTGTATTCTGCCATCCAGGAAGGCACCCCAACCTCTACTGCCTCTGGTGGAAGGAAAGAAAATTGATTCATCTATAGCTTGCTTTAGCCACAGGAACTAAAACATGCAGATCTGAGAAAAGCTATCAAGTCTAAAAACATTTGATGATATCTTACTAAGGCAACCAATGGAGATGGTTCGAGAAAATTGCATGATTCTCCCTTCAACACAGGTATTGTTGATGGGGGAATGCTTCCTGCAGTGCTAATGTCTTCTGCCAGCAGGGGGGTATGGGGAGTCTTCCCACCAGGCAGAATACAATGTTTACTGCTAGTGTCTATAGCAGTAGTTGCATCTAGAAAGATCCGACACGCTGGTTGTACCCAAAACAATTGATGGACTGATTTGGATACAATCAGCTCCCATACATGGATCGAATCTTGGCCTTTCCCTGCTGAACTGGTCAAATTTCAATCCATATATAGCTGGCTTAAGAGAAGCAGAACTTGTATTAGTGTGCTCTTTAGCATGGATGGGGGAATCAAGTGATTTCTCTCATTCAGCCTATGGGGCTGAAGGAGAGAACTCAATGTGTAAATGCTAGAGCTTTTTAATCTCTGATATTATGCAGGGTCTGAATGTGTGCCATTCAGCTACAGGTGACTGTGCCGTTCAGCTACAGTATACGGTGGTGACTACAGTACTGGAACAGAAGATTATGTATCCATAACAGCACAGCCTGGTAGTGAAAATAATTGACACTCTTTGGTTTTGGACTCTAAACTTCAAAGTGGCTTGAATTTTTCTAAGTGCTACATTTTGATACTGGATTCTTCCAGGACTGAGGCGGGCTCACATAGTGAGTGCTGTTGAGTCTTGGAGTACTGTGAGATCAACCTGCATGAAGATGTGTCTCCTAAAGGACATGAAAACAACAGGCTGGACTCACAGGAAATGGGCAGAATACTCTTTTTTCACTTGAGATTATCAAGTGCTTCACAGATGTGTAGAAGATTATTGTGCTCACTATACTATTCTCTCCCTCTCTCTTTAGCAGCTGGGTGAGTACAGTAAATAGCAACACAGAAAAGGTAAAGATCACTTTGCAGACCCACACATGAGCGCTGCAACATGACTGACTTGGCTTTTGGAATTTGTGATTGTGTGTACAGCAGTTAGCATGGTGCCAACAAGCTTTTGTGTGTCAATGCTAGTCTGGAAAACACAACACAAATTGTGTAGGAGTTTCAGTCTTGCTGAATCTGAGAGGGAGAAAGAGGGGATAAGAAGAAAGTGGTAGAAATTATTCAGAGAAGAGACTGCAAAATAAGCTTGCTTTTAAAATTTAAAGAATTACCAACGTACCCTCTTAACAAATGGTTGGTTTTGGGTTACTGCATCACCACTATAACCTCCATAGTACAACAAACGGTACTGATAAGTTGCTGCACATGCTATCTAATAATACCCAACACAAAATTTCTATCATAAGTAATGTTACATGCATAGATAATATTTGAAGCAACAAGCTTCCAAAAAAAAATCTATTGCAAACACGCTACTGGTTCAACCACGTGTCTTCAAGTTCTTCAAAGTCCTTTGTTGTTAGTTGATGATAGATCTCTGGACCTTAGGGCCAAAGCTCTTGTTAAAAGCTGTTGTGCTAACAATTGGACTCATTGGTAAATGCCTGTTACTTGTTTTCTGGGGGACAGTGATCTTTTCTTGAGAGTGGAAGCTTGTATCACCAATGGTTGTAAACCGAATTATGCTTGAGCCACATGATGGAGAGAAAGATATCTATAGAAAGAATGGTTGTGGGAAATTAAAAATGTCTATGAAACAGCTGAAACAAAAACACCATAGTTGTACACTTGATATGCACATTCAGTACCCTTACACGCCCACCAAAGTGTCTCTTGAATAAGTAGAGTATTTTCAGCTAGAGTTTGTACCAAAGAGGAGTGTTAGGTGAAACACTGATGATAAGATACATTTTTATTCACATTTATGTGGAGAAAATCACATAGTTTATTAGCTAATCAATTGTAGGATTCCTACAATGCAAGTAGAACTGTGGCTGCATTTTCTAGTGTTGGTTCAGTTGGTTCATTTACATATATCAGGTCTGCTGCCCACAAGTAACAGTAAAATTAGGCACTGAACAGCCACTATTCCATATAATTTGTAAAATCAGCGATGAAAAGCTTGTTGGGTAATGAACATCTGTCCACATAATATCAATGAGTTTGGGGAAATAGATCATTTTTACGAGATTAATTTGGCCAGCTAGATTAAGCAGAAGAGATTGCTACATTCATAACTTCACTTCTATGGTCTGCATTATAGGGTTGATTAAAAAAAAATATTTAGTTTTGATTTTTAACATTAATAGAAACCCATTTCCACATGTCACAAAATAATATAACATGAACAGTAGGTGTAAGCAAGTCATACATCAGGCTATACAAAAACGGAATATGATAGAATACAAGCTGTCATGATTGAAGTGTGGGAAAATAAACAGTTAGTCATGGAACTTACACATACTGTATGAATTACCATTCGTTTAGGTGTGAGCTATAAAAACAATTGAGTACTGTCCGTAATACTTTTTCTATTTGCACTAACATACAATTTTGAGGACAAGCTTTCGGGGAATGTCCCCTTCTTCAAGGTCTAAGCAGTACTACTCACAAAGTTAGCAGAATGTTAGAAGAGATGAAAGGGGAAAAAAAAAAAAAAGGAGGCTAGAGATAAGATGCAGTCAAAGCGAGGGGGGGGGGGGGGGGGGATACTACACTCACACAGTGTGAGCTATACTAAACTCAAGTAACATTTTGTAGGTGGTTAATTGGTTAATATAGGGTTAATGTTCAAATAGATGAAATTGGATATGAGAAGTTGTACCATGGTGCCAAAAATATTTGATCCTATCAACCCATTTAGAGGTGTGTCAAATGGAGTAAAAATTGGGTTTTTGATCATAATGGGAAATATTAAAGATTTGTATAGCTGAACATCCAGTCCTGAACATTTACCAAATACAGTATGTGCTACAAATATTAGCTATGGACTGTCTACAGTATATAAGATAAAAATAAGGATAGTGGGCAAATAAGAACAGGGATAGTGCACAGCCCTGTTTTGTACCACATTTAATTGTAATAGGAGTTGAGTTTAACCACTAGCCTACAGGGCACTTATACCCCCCTTCCTGCCCAGGCCAATTTCCAGCTTTCAGCGATGTTGCACTTTGAATGACAATTGCGCGGTCATGCAACCCATATGAAATTTTTATCATTGTTTTGAGACAGAGCTTTCTTTTGGTGGTATTTAATCACCTCTGGGTTTTTTATTTTTTATTAAACCAAAAACCACAGAAAATTTTTTCTTTTTGTTTTAAAATTTTTTCTTTTTGTTATAAAATTTTGTAAATAAGTGATTTTTCTCCTTCACTGATGTGCACTAACGAGGCTGAAGTGATGGGCACTGATAGGCTGCACTGATGAACACTGATAGGTGGCACTGATAGGCACTGACGAGGAGGCACTGGTAGGTGGCACTGATGGGCATTGACAGGCAGCACTGATGGGCACTGAAAGGCAGCACTGATAGGCAGCACTGACTGGCACTGATAGGCGGCACTGACTGGCACTGATAGGCGGCACTGATGGGTGACACCGAAAGGCAGCTTAGATGGGCACTGATATGTGGCATTGATGTGCACTGGGGAGGCACTGAAATGTGGCATTGATGTGGCACTGATGGGCACTGGCAGGTGGCATGGATGAGCACTGATAGCTGGCACTGATGAACACTGACAGGTGGCACTGCTGGGGCTCCCCTCTGAGGGATGCCGATTATCGGCTCTGCTCTCCAGCTGTCAGCGTCACAGCTCGTGAAGAGAGAAATGCTGATAACTGGAATTTCCCTATTTACATGTGATCAGTTGTGATTGGACACAGCTGATCACATGACCGAGCCGACATCTTCAGCTCTTTCCATTGATCGGTGATCCGCTGTGTCTGAGGGACACAGCACACCGCCGATCGCCACGCTGCGAACTCCCGGAGCCGCGCATACACGGTTAGAATGGGAGGACGTCATATGACGTCCTCCCAGAACGATAGAACCGCCTTGCGCCCGTCATTGTACTTCAGTCAGGTCTATAAATATTGGGACATCAACACATTTTCTAACATTTTTGGCTCTATACACCACCACAATGGATTTCAAATGAAATGAACAGGATGTGCTTTAACTGCAGACTGTCAGCGTTAATTTGAGGGTGTTTACATCCAAATCAGGTGAACGGTGTAGGAATTACAACAGTTTGCATATTTGCCTACCACTTGTTCAGGGACCAGAAGTAATGGGACAGAATAATAATCATAAATCAAACCTTCATTTTTTAATACTTGGTTGCAAATCCTTTGCAGTCAATTACAGCCTGAAGTCTGGAACGCATAGACATCACCAGACGCTGGGTTTCATCCCTGGTGATGCTCTGCCAGGCCTCTACTGCAACTGTCTTCAGTTCCTGCTTGTTCTTGGGGCATTTTCCCTTCAGTTTTGTCTTCAGCAAGTGAAATGCATGCTCAATCGGATTCAGGTCAGGTGATTGACTTTGCCATTGCATAACATTCCACTTCTTTCCCTTAAACTCTTTGGTTGCTTTTGCAGTATGCTTTGGGTCATTGTCTATCTGCACTTGTGAAGCAGCGTCCAATGAGTTCTGAAGCATTTGGCTGAATATGAGCAGATAATATTGCCCGAAACACTTCAGAATTAATCCTGCTGCTTTTGTCAGCAGTCACATCATCAATAAATACAAGAGAACCAGTCCCATTGGCAGCCATACATGCCCACGCCATGACACTACCACCACCATGCTTCACTGATGAGGTGGTATGCTTAGGATCATGAGCAGTTCCTTTCCTTCTCCATACTCTTCTCTTCCCATCACTCTGCTACAAGTTGATCTTGGTCTCATCTGTCCATAGGATGTTCCAGAACTGTGAAGGCTTTTTTAGATGTCGATTGGCAAACTCTAATCTGGCCTTCCTGTTTTTGAGGCTCACCAATGGTTTACATCTTGTGGTGAACCCTCTGTATTCACTCTGGTGAAGTCTTCTCTTGATTGTTGACTTTGACACACATACCTCCCTGGAGAGTGTTCTTGATCTGGCCAACTGTTGTGAAGGGTGTTTTCTTCACCAGGGAAAGAAATTTTTTCGGTCATCCACCACAGTTGTTTTCCGTGGTCTTCCGAGTCTTTTGGTGTTGCTGAGCTCACCGATGCGTTCCTTCTTTTTAAGAATTTTCCAAACAGTTGTTTTGGCCACGCCTACTGTTTTTGCTATCTCTCTGATGGGTTGGTTTTGTTTTTTCAGCCTAATGATGGCTTGCTTCACTGATAGTGACAGCTCTTTGGATCTCATCTTGAGAGTTGACAGCAACAGATTCCAAATGCAAATAGCACACTTGAAATGAACTCTGCACCTTTTATCTGCTCATTGTAATTGGGATAATGAGGGAATAATACACACCTGGCCATGGAACAGCTGAGAAGCCAATTTGTCCATTACTTTTGGTCCCTTAACAAGTGGGAGGCACATATGCAAACTGTTGTAATTCCTATACCGTTCACCTGATTTGGATGTAAATACCCTCAAATTAAAGCTGACAGTCTGAAGTTAAAGCACATCTTTTTCATTTCAAATCCATTGTGGTGGTGTATAGAGCCAAAAATGTTAGAATTGTTTTGATGTCCCAATATTTATGGACTTGACTGTATATGGCGGGCGGGAGGCTGTTAAAGTGGAACTTCACTCTCTCAAATCAACATTGACTATTTTGAATCCTTATGCTGCTAGCATTAGTAAGTAGATAGGAACGTATATCACATGTACTTGTGTTAAACTCTTTTTACATTTGTTTGGTTACTTCCTTGTTTCCATGCCTAGCAAATGATGTCATACATCCCAGGAGTCTTCAGGAGGGGAGGAAGGGTTTTCTCAGCTAAGCGTACCCTCTTTTGTGAGGAAAATGTGCTGACAGTTATTTTTATTTCTTATATGTCAAACAGATTTTCTGGATATTCAGGTTGAGATTGCTCTGGTGTTAGGAAGTCAATGTGATCTAAGAAACAGTGTAGTTCCTGCAAAGCACAAGCTGTTTTTGGTGAATAAAGGCCCAAATAAAAATATAGAACTTGACAGAGTATTTGCTTAGGTAACTAAACAGTGCTCATACGAGTTACCCACAGCCTAGGGATTACAATATGGGAGCATTCAGATTTTGCCAGGAATTTGAGTAGCAGAAAAATATGGGAGTTTTCAAGTTTTGGGGGATCTACTACATTCTTCGTCTGCTTTAGTGCATGTCACTTAGAGGTCTGTGAAAGTCTGGCATTGTTTACAATATGCTTTATTTCACATTATAAATTACCCTCTTGTGGTCCCTCTTTAAGGCATATCGTGCAGGGTTGCCAACCTTCCGTAAATTTATGGACAGTAAATTTAAACTTATTTACAGGTGTTTGTTAATGTCCATGGCTGCTTGTAAAAAATATTGCTGCAGGCCGAGTTTAGAATTGCGCATGTGCAGTTCCATAGCTGGCTGGGCTCGGGCAAGTTCAGACCTGTTTTGCTGCTGGGCACATTCGCAGTGATGTCATGGCGCCACTTGATGCTGTGAATGGCAGCTGCGGCCATGCCTCTTAGCTAGAGGAGTTAAAGTACCCTGAAGCTGGCTCTGGACTAGTCCCTGGTCCCCTTTGCACTGGGATCCGTCTGTTTGTAGCACCAGATGCCAGATCTGGTATTACCAGAGCCCCCAGCTAACCCCTTTGGGCATGGTCTGGGCATCCCCTAATAGTTCCTAATGCCCAGGGACCCTTTCAGCTTTTGCCTCTAATTCTGAGACATCGGCTACCCTGTGAGTACAAAGAACAAAAGGTATACTGCTCAGGCAAACAATCCAGATCAATCCACAACAGGTGCAAGCTCTGGCTCGCCACCACACACAATGCAATAGGAATAAGGGTCAGCCGTACACCGGAGGATAGATGAATATAGTGTGTATTTATTGATCCATAGGACACACAAAACACCAGCAGATAAATACAGGGCTTATTATTGCGTTTCACACGATCTCGTGCTTAATCATAACAAAGAAAACAACAAAAGTGCTGTCTTATATAAGTATTCGTTAATAAAGAACACCTGTCCTAATCAGCACTCCTGAATCCTGAGGGTATGCCTACTAATACATTGTAACAAGATGTATAAAACCATTGTATCAAAAGTAGTGATCTCAAAGAACAACAAGAAAGGAAGAAAATTAGAAATCAAAGTGAGCATGCCTTTGACGGTGTGAAGGAAGGTCACTTTGTCCACCAGCCTGTAGGGGGCTACTTCTGTGCCAGCGGCATCCCAGCACTGCCTCGGACGTTGTGTGGCATCATGACGTCACATTTTTTTTGTGATGGGTGTCGGCAGCGGATGCTGGGGGAGAAGTTCTCCCTCCACAGATGCCGGGGCGGCCATATTAAGACCCCATTTTGGTGCCATTGCCGCTTCATCTCTTTGCTGGCAGCACAGATTCATCGGATTACCCTCTAAGACAATTATCTTAAATTGAGATCTAAATATATTGGATGCATTTTTGTAGTTGGCTGTTGGCTTTCTGTCCTGAAGGTGGTCCCTTATGCGATCTTGATGGTTTGGTGAGCATTACATTTTTGCCTTGTTGGTGAAGAGAAGTTGGAAAAGAGCGAGCGCCTGGTTGAACAATAGCTACTAGCATTCAGGATGAACTTCTGTATCCTCAAAACAGCTTGATAAATAAATAATGCAGCGCTGAAAATTCTTATAGAGACTGATGCATCAAATGTGAGCACTAAAATTGCACTAAAGTGATAACAGTAATGGTTAAGTGCACCATCATAAATTGATGCATAAATTGTGACTTATACAATCATAGTGACTTCAGTGTATAATAACTGTAATTATGGCATAAAATCAATAAAATCTGGAAAGGCATAAAATAATCCAAATTATTCCGTGAGATCCGTGCGCGTGACTTCCGTGATAAGAATCAATAGTGTGATTGCACTCACCAGAAGTGCAATATTAATGCGCATGTATATATATTATCCTCTGTGGTCATCTGGGTTCAGGCAAGGAATAAGAATCATCTGGCACACAGACAGCATAAAGGCATAACTCCAGACCTCACTCACAGGACCCTCTCAGTATCCAGGAACAGCTCCTCAATACTTCATCACCCCTGGATAATAATAGCTCAAAAAAGGATGTTTCCACCTTAAAAGGCTTGTTATAAACAAGCCAGAAACAATAAAGTGCTGATAGTGTAGTATTTTATTGGTATGCAAAAAGGATCAATCCATAAAACAGCTGTCAGCACACACTTGCAGGGACAAAAGATGGCCCCTGTGGCGTGACGTCAATACGGCAAGGCTTCTTTCTTGACTCGTTTCGTGCGCATGCACATTGTCAAAGGGATCTGCCTGCCACTGACGTGCGCCATATTTGCCGTGTGCGCAAATGGGCCGCCATTACAAAGGAGACCAGCATCACACCTCACTATTGCAGTGGATGAGAACTTATTACTAAGACGAATATAATAACTAACAATATTTAAAAAACACGAATAGATACTGGGTTATAATATATCTATGGCAAAGTAATTTCTGGAGAAGGACAAAAACAGAAAAAAATCTGTGTGGCAAAATGTCTGAAAGACCGCCGGCCGCCATTTTGTCGTGGTCCAAAGGAACTACAAATAGCAGGGGGGCCTAGCAAATTCAAAATAAAAAATTAAAAACACCAATTTACTTCATATAGCAAATTCATGAGCAATTCAGGATATACTAGAAAATTTCAAAAACCATATGGGAAAAACGGATATATGTGGTTTTCTGTTTATGTCCAATGTGGACTACAAATGACAGCAGTGCCTGAAACATTTCATAAAAATTCTAATTGAGATCATATTGTCCTCCATTAATAATTGTCAGG